GTTGCTTAATATATGCTAAGTACTCTTTAAAATACCAGAATAGGGAGGATGGTGTAGGTTTAAGTTTATTAGATTGATCAGTATTGCTGAACTATGAAATTTATTTATTTTTTTGCATACAGGTATAACAGAATAGCTTTAGTGTAGTTGTTGTTTTAAACTTGAGTATGAACCTATACAAAATGCAGCAAGATATTTAAAAAAAACAGTTGTTGATTAAAAAAACACTATATCGGATTCATATCGGTATCGGCAGATATCCAAATTTATGATATCGGTATCGGACATAAAAAAGTGGTATCGTGCCATCTCTAGTGTTGACGAGATTGTTAGTTAATCATTTACAAATCAATATTGTCTGTACGGAGTGAACATGTAAAGCTGCGGTGTTAAGCCATGCGGTTGGGGGGGTGGGGGGAGTTAAACTAGAGTCCTGTCTGTATCACCCTGCTTCTATCAGCATTCACGTCATCAGTGACTGCTTCACTGGCATCCACACATGAGCAACGTAAAAACATTACCTACACGTTTTATAGACTGTATGCTGACACGTTTCTCTCAAATTGTTACACATGAAACAAAAGTTAACTTTCGTTTCATGTGTACAACGATCAGGCTCTTTCAGTTGTATCCTAGCAAAGTCAAACCTGTGCTTCCTGTTCTTGAGTGAAACCAGGATCGTTTGTGAACATAGAGACTTTACATTCACAAACATGTCTCTTGACTGTAGATTGACAATGATCTGTCTACCTGTTCGAGTGAGTTCATGATTTTGAAAATTTGGTTCTCTTGACCATTGAAATAATTATGTCATTATCCTTCCTATGAACTTCAGGAGTCCAATTACTTTTAATCCCCTGAAAATGGAGGAGTATGTATAAAAATCCTGGCAGCAGCCAGTGGTGAACATCAGCCTCTACACCTTGTTCTCAAGTTGACCTCTGACCTTCAGGTCGAGGTCACTCGAGTTATAGTCAACTTTGGACATGTAAAGAGTACGAAGCCCAAACACTTAACTGTTTTAGTTCATTTAATCTTAAAATTCCCTTTAAATGTATGTGTTTAATCAGCGTTGTTTATCATTTATGTTATATGAAGGATAAGACACTACGAGCACATACTACATGCTTTACATCTTCATGTTTTAACAACGAAATAAAGTTCTCTAGTAGACTAAAGTGATTAATTCAACATTATCCATCTATTCTTAAACAGTTCTAATACATCCTTTTTGGAGTTCTATTCACAGCAGTGATGTGAGAATAACTCCTGTGTGGCGCTGCGTCACACCACTTGTAGAAGCACGAGTGTTCAAAGGAAGCTGTTGCGTTGGCTAGAATGTCCGCTTAAAACTACGAGCCATTTAAATAAAAGTTTCTGTAGGAAGCCTTAATTCACATTCAGGAATCTAAAAATCGGCAATGCAAACGGCAGCTAATCTGGTATTTTTAGTACCCTGGTCAGAGGTGAAACAGAAACTACAGATTAGACAGTGGAACGCTCCACCAGAGGGCAGTGCAACAACACTTTTAAAAAGACTCAACTATAGGCTACTTCATGTGATGCACATCCAGTGTTTTGAGAGAAGAAAAAAGAAATTAAGGGCAATTACATCATTACACACAAAGATTCTATGAAATCAGGCCCAATTAGAATATAAAAGTAGTACTCACACCCTTAATCATTCTGAGATGCTCATTCAGACCACATGAGGGCAACATTTGTACACATTGAGTAATTTTGTACTTCACATATATTTTTAGAATAGTAAAGCAAGAATAATGATATTTAATCATTCAGGGCCTTTACTAACTTGATTTGATCTGCAGTCAATTACATTCTTGATCATTAAATTCTGATCCCACCAACATTTCATCACTTGCATTTCTGTAAACCGATTTAATATTAGTGTTCAAAATGCAAACCTGGCAGGTGTCCAATATCAGGCCACATCAGCTGCTGTAAACACTGCTTAGCAAGGTTGAGACATCTGTTGGAAGACAAAAAAAGTTAATGTTCAAGTCCTTACAATGTTAAGCATTTCCTCTGCTGGATAAAAGTCAATTTTTCACTCTTACAGTCCAGGAGGATTACATGTTCATAATTTGATGCACAAACACTGAAAACTGAAGTCTGCTTGTCACAATAGTTCTGTGTACAGCATAATGACATAAGTGCGGGGATAAAACCCTCGCTCTGGCGTTATCTAAACCTCTTCACCTAAATTATCCAATCAGATGCTCAGGCACTTGTCAGGACTGCTTGAACCTTTCAGATGTTGGCACTACTCAGAAGACAATCAAATGCTGTGCGCCGATTGTCAGCTGTAATTGAAGAATGTTTCTGCCAGATCATTCGTGGAATTAAACATGTGATTGCATATTGTTTGCAGGGTTTGTCTTCCAAGAACTGCATAAACATTGCCCATCTTCCTTCTGAAAGGTTACTCCAGCTGTCACTGATATATCAGGGTCAATTCTGTATGCAACTTGATTAATGAAAAAAAATTACAATAAACCCCTGATTTACTTTGTGTACTTGGTTCCCCCCCCACACACACACACCACTTGTGCATTCTGGCTTAGTTGTTAAATTATGCCAGTGTATGTAATTATGCCACACACACACACACACACACACACACACACACACACACACTCATGTCACTTATCTACTAGTCTTTATTTTAACCCCACTACTGTGTGTCCCAAGGGAGGACGGAGTACAGGCTATGGGGTCAAAAGTGACCAGAGTCACCATGTCAACAAGCACACTGCTGCATTTCAGCATGAGCAGAGTTCTTGGTTTTGCCTCGTGGGACTCAACTGAAAATTCTAATCTTAGCTATAGACCTGCAGATGTGTGCACTGTTGCACTTAAAAAACAAACAAAAAAACATTAGTAAGCCTCAAATCAGATGAGTAATCCAGACTGAGGTTCCCTCTCTTTTTGACTGACAGGCTGAACACCGACCCCTGAAAACATGAAGTACATTGATGAGTTACCGCAGGCTGATCAGGAGCTACTTGGATGATGAACTGGTATGTTGGCATCACACAGTGCTGCAACATCAGTCTAGTCATCTCTCCATCGTCTGTCACCGGTTCAGGGGGTAAAATGAATCCATCATCAATTTGTTCCTCTGACATGCTCAGCAACTGGCAGGGAGAAAGAGCACAGTTAGATAAACCATTCATTTCTGGGAACAGTGACTGGTCAACTGTAGTAAAGCAAGACCAACTAAACCAGAACAACAATCAAATGAGATGGTAAAAAGTGTGACTGTTCATTTAGCACTTTCCTGGGAAAGCTGCACTTCATGTTGGATACGATAGCTCACCCTAACACACTGGAAAAGTCTCCACTAACAGATATAATTTCATTTAATATGCTAATATTTTGTAATAAATATCTATATACTTTTGACAGTGAGCTGATGTAGTTTTATATTTTGCTCAGGAATGAATGGTTTATTGCTGCTTGTGGCTTTATGAAAAAAAATTATGTATTAACCCTCCGGGTTTGTTCAAAATCACTAACCTTCCAGCCAACAGATAAGGTCTGTAATTTTTATTATTTTCATGGGTTTTTTTTTTTAAACCCTTCTTTCTGCATAAAGCTTTTAACTAACTTCAGTTCTTTTCATAAATATAAGAGTTATTACTTTTTACATTTTTAACCCTTTAAACACCAGTTTGTCCACTGCACTAGCTGGAAGACAACCTCAAAGCAAAAACATAAAAACTCCCTCTCAGCTTGCTCGTGGCCAAAAACGGGCACCCCTTGTATAAGTCTACAAAAGGCTATAAAATTGGTGGCCATTTAGAAGTCAGCCATCTTGGATACAACTCCCCCCCCCCATAGGAAGAGGGCCATGTGACACAAACTTATTGGTAATGTCACAAGAAAAACAATGGTGTGCTTGGTTTCAACGGCCAACTTCTAAATGGCCACCACCCATCTTGAGGAGTTTGCCGCCCCCCCCCCTTCACAAATACTAATGTGCCACAAACAGGAATTTAATATCACCAACCAGTCCCATTTTATTACAGTGTATCCATATAAATGGCCCACCCTGTACACCTGGTGCAAGGGGCTGCTGTTCCAATCCTGGAGGTGCGCCTTTTGCACCTTCTTCTCATTTCATTGGTGGGGTGTGGGTCACACCTGTTCAGACTACTGTATCTTGGGATCAATGGCAGAAGTGGCTGAGAATCAGGGACAAGGGTGTCTTGCAGCTGTTGAGGTCACCAGCATGTGCCCCAGCTCTCCCAGGATCACTCTTCATTTGTAGAGCACTCCCCCACTTCAGTGAAGTTGTTTCCAGCAGGACAAAGGCATCATATCCCAAGACATCCAGGAGACTGGAGAAAAGAGCCAGCAGCTAGTTTTCCTTCAACAACTTGAGGTGCCAACATCCTCTCCAAGTTATCTAAGCTGTATTTGTGTCTATTGTAGTCCAGGATTGCTTCTTGTTTCCAGGCATCCTCTATTCCCCATCACTGACTGCTGGTTCCTTGTGTGTTGCTGTCAAAAGAAGCGCATTCCTCCGTTGCTTTGGCATGTGGTAGTTTTGGTGAAGCCAAAGACAGACAACAAAATCTTCCTCTGTTGCATCTGGAGGAGCTGGGGAGGAAGCTCTGGGTTGTTTCCCATGTGCCAGTTTTCATCTGAGGAGTTCCTCAGTGCCAAGGTGCCCGAAGGAAAGACGTTGTCCTCAGAGCTCCTCCGTCAGTTCGAGTCTGAATCAGAATACTTTATTGATCCCTGGGGGAAATTATTGAATGTCTGAACCCCTTTCCCTTTTTTTACTTCCAGTGTTGTCATCCAACATGCTACGTATTGCTTCATTCTGGTTCAGGCTCACATCTCCACTTCATCTATAATCCTCACACCTTTGCCTCCCGTGCAGGTTTGTAAGGGTGCACAGCAGCTAAAAGATCTCCTTTGTTATAAAAAAGTCAAAAGTAGATCTCAGGCTGCTAGTGCAGGGAACTGCATACAGGGTGACACCTGGTTTGATACCAGTGGGTACTGGATTGTAGAGCAGTCTCTCTTCAGTAGTGGGACCCACATGGTTTTCCTTTCATGAGGGATCCACTCAGTCACCGGCTCCTCGGTCTCAGAAAATGCTCCTATGTTCTTTTCCATCAGCTGCTCGGCCTCCACCTCCATGCCCCCAAACCCCAATCCTCCCCCAAAGAAGAGGATTCACACACTGGCTAGTACTCATCTTCAGTGGTGATGCAGTCAGCCTCTTTGGAGATTGTCCCCTCATCTTCTGGAGAGGAAGTTTCTTCATCTTGGGCAGATGTCTCTTCTTCAAGGGCAGAGCACTGCTTTCCGTCCTTGCTCTCTGACCAGATCATATAGACAGTGCTTGAAGCAGTGATGACCTTCTTGCCATATTGCCAGAATAAATGATCTGGAAGCTGTTAGGCTTACTTTCAGCAAAGAGTTTCTCAATGCAAAGAATGGGGATAGGCATTAAGGGCTAACGCACTAACCTGAAATCAACCCAACAGACATGCAAATGCAAAACTAAACTGCAGGAACTTAGGCCAAAGCACTAGTATGTATGTGACGCTCCATTTAATGATGTATGCACATTCTGAATGTGGATTAGCACCATTAGTAGGTTGATACAACAGCGTCCCTTTACTGAAGAAACAGACACCACTTACATCATCCACTCGCCAAAAGTCACTACCAAGGCCTTCAGTCTGACTGTAGGCGATTGCATTCTTTAAGAAATCAGTCCCACTGCCATCATCCTAAAATAAACAAAAACAAAACACAGATCAACATTTCACAATAAGTGGTAGTGTTGCTCTTGGAAAACAATACACTTGTCATTTCAGAGAGTCCTGCCGAGCGCAGTACTTACACTTTCAGTTTCCTGCAAAACTGCAAGCAGCAGTCGAATGTATTCTGTGGCAGCTTTGAGTGTGTCCACTTTGCTGGGCTTTCGGTCTGGTCGCATCAGTGGCACCATCCTTTTCAAGCGAGAGAACATGGTATTCAAGTTCCTGATCTGCAACGAAGAGAGGCTGAAGTGCTTTAGCAAACACTGAAAACTGTAGGATTTTTTTAGCAGGAGCGATTGTCACAATTTGATACTCTTGTAGAAATTTAAGCCCTGTGGGAGCAAATCCCGGTTTAAACTAAAGTATTCATACTTATTTGATTGTAAGCAGCACTGAGTTGTATACAGACTTGTCAATTTTGAAATACAGAAAGGTCGTTTTTAATTAAACACAAAGGCAACTTTCAGCACCCCAGCAGGACTACTTATGCAAATATCAGCGCTATTATCATCATCATCATCATTATTTATTCTAATAATATTGTTCAAACATCCAAAAACAACATCTCTAATATAACAACGAAGGAGAACTGCATGTCCAAGAAAATTAGTCCATTTCAGACCATTTAATGCCAGGAAGCATTCATAAAGCAGTCATGCTTAGCACTTGATACACAGCTGCTAAAAAACCCAAGATGCAGGCCTTCGAGCGAACTTCAGCGCCAAACAATGTGCCTTACTGGTGTAGTGCAGCTCTGTGCAAAACATTAGCCGAGGACTCCTTGTAGGGCGGAGTGGCACAGATTAAGGAGGGGGGGGGGAATTGCTTTATTGAGAGTCGAAATGTTTACATTAAACTTGCAATTCTGCTTGGACAATAAAGTCGTCAGTCTATTTTGAGAAATTAGCAGCAAATTATTCCCAAAATGAACAATAACGTATCTATTTTTCCAGCTAGCATCGTTAGCTGTGAGGTTGCTAACAGCTTCCCCCCTTGAGTGAGCTGTTAACCCTTGGAAGGTCCTTAAAAACATCCTTATTTGGTCCTAGAGCCAAAAATCGACCACACCATAAAAAGTGCTATAATATTATATTTTCCCCCAATTTAAATTACTTTTAAAACTACTTCTCCCTGAAATATTCATATAAACTTTTAACACACACACACACACACACACACACACACACACACACACACACACACACAATAATAACATGGACTGAACCACCACTCACAACCACAACCAGATTTAAAAATATCATTTTTTGTTGTAACTCCCAAACTCAATGGTAATGTAACAATACTTTTTCAAACGAAAAAGTCAGCACTTTTCGTACTCAGAACAGCGAAAGTGTTTCTGTGCGCACTTTGGCACACGGCGAGTCAGACCTGTACGCTGGAGCGTCCGGAGCCTAGTCATTGTCCGCCAGTTTGTCGAAATCCTCCAATGGCTGTTCCAATCGATCTCCTCTTCGCTCACAATTTGCAGATAATTGGTGTCGCTACGTGATCCATTAACAGTGTGAGCTGAAAGCATCTCCGTTTTCTGCTCAATGCGCGTCTATTTAGAAATGCGGTATCTTAGCTTTCCATCAATGACTACTTCCAGGTCATTCAACCGCAGCTGTATTTAAAAAAAATGATTTTTAAGGGGAAAATAAAATCCAATTTGCTTTTAGTTCTTGCTTTTATATTCAATTTGTTTGCATTGCAGTGTGCCTGTCCGGCCATCAAAATACTTTTGAAAAAAAAGTGTGTCTTTTTTTATTATTTTATTTATTTATTTTATTTTTTTGACATAAAGACCTTTTTTTTTTTTTTTTTT